ACACTAAATATATTTTTAATTTATGCCATTATGGGCAATAACATGTGAAAGATATTTAAAGTTTTATAATGGTCATCCTGTTTTCGTTATCGCCTGCTCTAGTCACACCAGCGTTTACTTTAGACAAGCTCTACTGTTTCTATCACTCTGTGTCTACACGAACTTCAAAGAAAATGATTAAATATTTACTCAATGAGTGTGATAAATGAGAATCAGCGGCCAGAGTGGGATATTAAGTTAGGTTTGTTGTACTGTGTATGTTGTATGTTCTTAGCATTGTACATATAAACTTATTATAGTTATAGTGTCCCTATTAATAATTATTATTGTAAATCTCCATCTCTCAGGGTTGCCTGGAAGAAGTTCTAGCGATAAGTCCGCCGTATCTCCCTACATTTTTTTTATAATTTCTTCAAATTGAAATTATAGTTTTATTGTGGTGACATTAAATTTTTTTTGTTTGTTTGTCCGTTATGTTAAATGCTTGTATATATTCGCGTCATGAAGGCAATACAGGCTTCAGAGACTAATTAACACGTAAACCGGTAATTACCTTCTTTGACCTAGTTTTACAGTTGCGAGTACTCCAGCACTGCTGGCATGGCTAGTGGTACTTATTTTATTTTACTTAAAAAGTGCGCGAGGTTTAATCAATATTGTTAAAGAGCTTTTTTTATCTTTTTATATATAAATCTGACACGATGTTTGTCCGCTATGGACTCCTAAACTACTGAACCGATTTTAAAAAATTGACAAACCGTGAGCAGTCTGGTCCTACTTGAGACGTAGGTAGTTTAGATCTTTAATTATAGTCGCAATTTTTTTTTTTTTCCTAAACTTATCAAAGAAGACAGAGAGAAGATCAATAGATGGCACTGCTATGGTAAACCGACAGACATCATATAATCTACAATTCAATAGATGGTACTGCTATCCATCTATGTAAAAAGCATGATGGTCGTGGTCCCCGTGACTGATGTTCTCCTACTGTTCCTCTTAAATTGTATACTACAATGTAATAAAACAATAACTTCAGCCACAGCAACGCGTGGCCGGGTCTGCTAGTAATTTATATTTTAATAAAATACACATTTTTTAATGATTAGGATTCAAACCCAATGCCTCTTCTCTTTTAGGCAATGTTTTATTTTTCCTTATTTTTGTAATACATTATACCAAACTATTATACCTAATTCGATACTAGCTTTGTTAATTATTTTAATGAATTATATACGTTCATACATATATATTAAATACTCAATATTTTATTGATTTAAAACGCGTAATATATTAGTTAACGTATTTTTTTATTATTCTAATATATTTCTCGTTTTAAACCGTTAAATGTGTTTCATTTAAACGTTTAATAATACAAAACGGCTAGCGTCGTATTAGTCATAGTGAACGTTGATTAAACAACAAATTCTAAGAAATAACTCTATGAATCAAATATTCTTAATCCACTTGTTCTGTGTCATGTTTTAAAAGATAAACCACGTTGTGATACTGGCGTTAAATTAATGTTTTATTGTGAATTCTAAAATTGCATTTCTCATACAGAACGTGTTGTGTCTGAGATTGTATACTCGCGTGTAGTGTAGTTCTGAATAAAGAAGAAATAATTAAAATAGAGAAACACTATTTTCAAAATATATAAAATTATTTTTACTTTGCTGAACATTAATCTATGTTACTAAAAACAAAAATTGACGTTATAGGAAAATCTTATAATTGTTGATTTAATTGTAATATTATGCAATAGTAGCAATGTTCGCCCTATTATAAACGCCTTATTGATTTAAGACTTACCTAGTTTAAATATCTGTGTCCCGTTTTCCGTGTATTTTGTCATTGAAAGTAAAATAGTTACGCCTTAAAATGTCCATTAAGAGCTACTGAAGGCCAGTAAAAAGGGTAACAGCATACCGAACGTTCCATATTTTAATGGCCTTTAATAGTGGTAATTATCTTTAAATCAGTTTTTGTTATTTCAAATGACAAAATTGTATAAAAGCAGATTAACTCGATATACTACTGAAATAATGTTTAATACGAATATATTGGCGGCAGTTAAACGTACGTAAGTTAAGGCACACCATGCCGTTCTGGAGCAGTGTGGTGGGTAAACTTTTCCCATAGGGGACTTGTGTTGCTGACATATCGAAATTCCGCCCGGGTCACGAACCACCGTCCACAGATAGCAAAGTCGGGTAAATTTTTCTGGATTACCGAATATGCAAAGTGACATAAGGGTGACAGCGCATCTTAGATGTTTTATAGATGGAGTGTTTCATATTTAACCTTTTGCTTGCTCATGCATTTGAATTGAATAATGACTGGTTTAAACAAAATATCTATTTCAAATGATTTAATATACATATATACAAAATATTATAGCTACAAATTTTATGCAAAGTAACTCTTTTCTTAACCAATATTTAGAAATAATTCTCTTAAAACTGTCTATAGTTTACGCGATAAGTACACAATTAAATAAAACACTTTAACGGTTTAAAACGCGATATATATTAGTTATAGCCCGACATTTCAGAGCTTTGCAACAGCCGTTACCGTGATCTGTGATCAGTAGTAAAGATACATTTTCAAATAAGTTTAACTAATAGATATAGCGTTTTAAACCGTTCAAGTGTTTTATTTAAATCATTATCTAGTCCAAATACAGTGCAATTTACCTGAATTTTTCCTTCCCTCATTACGAAGTGACATAAGATAAGTTAATATACATGTCTATTTCACGGCCATTAAAATGTAGTTACCACTGTTGTCACTGTAACGAATAGAGATAAAGGTATCGAGTGACCCTAATACGTTGAAATCAATTTCTAATTATTACTATCCTAACGTGTTCTTAATAAGTGCAACTACTATTAAGTAAATTATCTAGATACTAGCTGCGTCAGCGACTTCGTCTGCGTAGAATATTGTGTCGTCATAACATTTGAAAAGGAATCATGCTTTCATACTTTTTTGGGATTTCAAACCGTGTTCGGAAACTCACAAAGATTAATATTTCTTGCCGCTATTTTTTTCGCTCCCATTAGTCACAGCGCAATGTTTTATAGCCAATACATTATACCTTTCTCGATAAATACCCTAACCGATACAAAAATAAATTTTCAATTCGAACCAGTACTTCCTTAAATTATCGCGTTCAAACAAACAGACTCTTAAGCTTTTTATATTAGTATAGATATTTTTTGATAAATTGAAACATATATTAAGTGCTATAAAGTATTTATATACAGTCAGAAAATGCAGAGACCCCCCCGCCTATTTTCAAGTCTATATTAAAATTTATAGAAATTCGTAAATAATCTATCCTATGTTAACTTGGAATACAGGAATCCACATTCCAGCAATATTCAAATTTTTATGAATAACATTTTTATGAGGCGTTGTAAAATTTTAACCAACAATCTTCTCCAATATTTTGTGAAATACGAGCTCAACTTTGAACCTTATACTCGCCTAAAAACCGTTTTAATCAAAGTTATCTGATAAAACTTGTTAAACGAAGGAACTTTTTTTATCATCCAAGGAATTTCTTATCGGCGAAACGACGCGACGGGACGCTTTGATAAGATACCACTTATAGCTCCTATTCCTTACACCTGCGTTACGTTACATTATTCACGTTTTGACTTTGAGACCAACACTTTAACTCTTATCTTGACCTGAAAGAAACACTATTTTCCACAGAGTATGTACACAGTAAAAACAGTCGGTATAAAATAAACGATTCACACTAAGTAAGTTAACTGAATATTTTTTTACTTTTCAGTGAAAACAGATGAAATATAGAAATAACTAAATATAGTCTGTAGTTTACGCATTTATATTTAAATAAAACACTTTTAGATATTTCAAACGTTTCGATGCTTGCTTCAGCTATGGTCATGAAGGGACCAAGTCAATCCGTAGTTAAAATAAAAGTTGTATTTTAAAATGTAGAGGTGAATTTTCAACGTGGATAAGTCGCCACATTCATCGCAGGGCCAAATTTAACTCGCTCACAGTATTAGTTTCAAATTCTACCCGTAGAAAAGATTCTATATTCTTCTAGTAATCTGCAGTAGTTCTGTGGATATATGTATTTATTCTAATTACCTAACAAAGATTTAATACATTCGAAAAAATACAAAATAAATCTGTTATTACGAAATTGGATTTTTTATCAGCGAAGTCGAGAACACGTATGAATTTAAATAGTACCTGGTCGTTCGCACGGTCTATTTGCGGACGAGACCCCGGGGGCTGTTTGCCCATGACTAGATCATAAATAAACAAAGCGCAATCTAGCACCAATAAGCTAGATATCCAGAATATTGTTATAAAATATTTATTCTTCGAGCGCTGTCGCGTCCGGTTTGCGTTCGCCGAAGCTGGTATTACGAATTCAAGAGAACGGCGCCAAGGTGCCTTCTAGAAACACTCGCAATACGAGCAAGACAAGCAATAAATCAAATTGAATCGCGTCAAAATAGAAAAAGAGCTTAATTGCTTTTGGAATGTCGGATGCGAAAAACACATTATCGGTAGCCTTTGTTCTAGTTGGACAAACAGCTTTAGTAAATTGAGGTTATTTAAAGGATTCGTATACAGTAGTTACAAATATTATATTACATACAGCAGATAAAACTTCGCATTTAGTCTGTAGCCTAACTGCGATTTTATGACTTCAGTTATTTATATTTTTATAGTCAAAGTCTAAACTATAAGAGCGGAGTCAACGAAAATTCTTATACAAATCCATTTTAGCCTAAGTTCCTTGTGCATTTTTATTTTCCTCTTTATTAAATCATCTCTCATATTCTCTCATATTTTAAAGACGTTTCTTACTGCATGCATTACATTTATAAAATTTTTGACTCCAAAAACATAATTTGCTAGTCATACTTCAGCCTTCATTGTATAGGAAATAAAAGACTTTTGGAGAACTGCTATACAGTTTAATTTCTCGTTTCAGATGGCGTAAAGTAATGGAGGGGGAGTGCTCGGAAGGCGAGGGCTGGCTGCTGGTTCGCGTGCACGTGCCCGAGCTGAACGTGCAGAAGAGCCTCCAGTTCACGCGCGACCAGCTCGTTTGGGACGTCAAGCAGCAGTGCCTCGCCGCCTTGCCTAAGGTAAACGGATTTCCATCGACTACCCATTTACCAGATTTTCTGAACGTGACTTCTTCCAAAGATCCGAGACCTAGAATATAGAAAAAAGATGTATTTATTTATGTCAAGGCAATTTGTATTTGTCAGGCTACGAGGGGATATGCTTAAATTTATTGACTGGTAATTTTTTTTAGAATTGGTGGGGGAAAACTAGAAATGTGTTCTTAAATATCTGATAAGCTCTTGGGGTTGATGGCATACATTTTATCATAGGCTCTATTACGACATTTCCTTTTACAGTAATAACATATTATGGTTGCATCCAAACGAGAAGAATCTATTATATTTATTCAAATCAATTTATTTGTTTTAGAGATAAAAGAGCAATTCCAATTAAGTGTACCCATTAACCAAATTGGTATCGCTCGTTTCTTCTTTATTATTTCATTTCAACTCTATTGTTTTCCGATTTTTCCATTTCCCCTTTTTTTCAGTTTCGCTAAAGCAACTGGAAAACGATGTTCTTTAATTTAAAAAGTCTAAGCTTCGTCTTTTTTTTTGTGTTTTGTTTTAAAGAAAACTTAGACTACCATGTCTTATCATGGTAAACAAAAGTTATTATTGTTTTTTATCAAAATGTTCATATGAATTTGGTTAAGTTAAGAAGTTGCTAATAGATACCCTGACTCCTAAAAATATGTTGTTCAACTAAGCAACAACGCAGTTGCTGACTTGACTTCAAAGTAGCTATCTCAAGCACTACTCAAACAAAATACTATAACCGAGTATGGTTATGAGATTAACGCGAAATTCTATTAACTTTTATCAATCCTAAGTATTCAATTGAATCGGTATGCAATTATCTTGGAGGTTATAACTTATACCGTCTGTCGACTCGGCGAGTGGTGACCTGCTTCTGATTTGAGGACGCTTGTAGGGCGTTTCCCTTAATCATATATATTTCTAAGGAAGTAGAATAATCGGACTGTTTAGCTTTTATTCGATTGTACACTACAGTAGCTATTATCTTTTGCTATTTGACAATTGAACGATCAAAAACAAAAGGACAACTAACCTAATGTTAAATACTGTCTGTAGTCTACACGAGTAGTACACATTTAAATTACACTTTAACGGTTTAAAACGCGATATATTAGTTAAACTTATTTGGAAATGATTTTTAAATTCGGCCCGACGTTCGGAGCTGCACAGCCGTGGTCACGGGGAGTTAAAAATCATTTCCAAATAAGTTTAACTAATATATCGCGTTTTAAACCGTTAAAGTGTTTTATTTAAATAACCTAATGTTATTAACACATGCTGTACCTACGTTAAATCGCTCTGATATATATTTTTTTAAGAAATTCAATGAGTCAATAAAATATTGGATTATCATTTTTAACACCTCGTAACATTCGTTTTAGAAACAATGTATTTCCTATTAGTTGTTCAAACAGGCGTCACCAACCTTTATGTTATTACTTACTGTAAATAGCCGGGAATTCAAATAATACGTCAAACTTCTATCTCAAGCCATCTTTCATCTGATTATGCACAAAACTTCACCGCAGACGAAATGTTAATGAAGTTATTTACATAATAATATGTCAGCGATGACCTTTATCATTCGGGCTCGTTCGCGGAATTTGCTTTTTAATTTATTTTTCATAATCTCTGTTGAACATGATCGTATAAATTATTTAAATCATTGTTATTTTATGGGGGTAGTTATTCATTCGCTTATTAAATACTTTAGGGTACGTTAGTACCTAGTGGTTACCCGGACAGTGTCCGATCTGTCGCGGGCAGAAAAATGTATAAGAGTTTGAATGAAAACTTTAGTATTTACACGGGCTTCAATGAGCTACCGATTTTTAAATATACTTCGATTTTTAAGCAAGTATAAGAAGACGTGCTTTGTGGTCACCGGCGGCCGCCTATCCGTTACGTTGCAACTGCAGCTGTATTTGCCGTTGATTTTTACGCAGTGACGAAGTTGCGAATTTTCCGATCGTCACCACATTTTCACCACCCAAAAATAAGCGTCCCCGGCGAACCGGATAGCCGGCCGTTTGGTGCATATAGCCTATATTATGCAACACGGTCATAACGTGTCTAAAACTTTAAATATGTTCGAAAATCCGAAATTGTAACAGCTTTGTAGCTGCAGTGGATAGATAGATTTTACAAATATACAATATTTTCAATTCAAAACAATGAGTTATTTTTTTGTTTGTAGTTAAAGAGAGCATTTGCTCATGTAATACAACAGAGGCAAATTTTGTAACTAAGCTTGTTCTTAACTATGAATTTGAACCGTCGAGTGAAACTACATAATTACGAAGTCGTAGGTTTGACGGACTCGTGGGTAATCAACGGGTCGTTGGTTCGATCTCTACTGCGATCAACATTTTTCTAATAACTTTATAATTGTTACGTGTGTACTTCGTTTGGAAATCCGGATATTTAATGGGTGGTAGAAATATCTAAAAATCTGTCGTCCACTGATAAAATTAATCGCGTTTTGATTTTAATCTGTTAATTTGCAAATATTCAAAGCCGTAATAAATTGTCAGCGTATTTTGTTATATATTATACAGCTGGGGTATTTACTTACATCAAGCGAACCCCACGTTTGTCCGTCGTCCTCTATCATAAAAAAAAACTTTGCTAACAAATCATTCCTATAAATTCCAAGTCCATACCTCTTATTCAGTCGTTAAAGATATCGCTCCTGGATCATAAAGCAAAAGGATTGAGTTTGTAATTTTCAATCGCTCTTATCCACAATCCCACGCAAACGTGGGCGGGACACGACTGACGACAGCCGTAAATCGCAATAACGCCAAGTGAGAATTAAACTGTAATTCATACACTGCGCGCTGTAATAAACCTTCAGCGAGAATACGTCTTATTTACAGGCAATGGATGTGTTGAATTGTTTAATATTCGGATATAATATTGGTAAGTAAAGCCATATGCATAATACGATTTGCAAATTCAATCTTGTACTGTTTATTTCATTTATGCTCAGTAGTAATCGAATTACTTATAGTTGTAACTTTATAGAATTAAAAATAGTAACTCTGTTTATGTAATAACAACACTACGACAACAAACCAAAAAATTTAATTTATATACCTATATGTAATGTATATATTATATATAATGGATTTTTTATAACCTTAATTGACAAGCTTTTAAAATCATCAACAATCCCCTAAGAATTAAGTAGATCGAATTTCGAGATTTCAATAATTATTTCCCCCATAACCACTGCTGCCACAAAGTATCTGAAACGTCGGGTTAAAATAACTAGAAAATAAGTTAACTAATAAATATATTTCGCGTTTTAAAGTGTTTTATTAAAATTCGTTCAACTAGTGACAATACTTAAGTAATTCGCTGTTTAACACTAGTTTCAAATAGACTAAGTTTAAACGAGTAATTATTGTCATTGAACTCCGCCCTAAATGGAAAATATTTCAAGCTAATGCTTATAATAACAAAGTTACGACATTTACATAGTAGGGTAGATGTGGGTGTTTAACATAATTGGAATTGTAATATCAGTTACAAGCGATGTGACACAAATATTAAGACACATAAAGTGGCTTAATATTTTATGATAGAGAAGGACAGACTTGCATACAGTTCACTTAGTGAAATAAAGAAAGAAAACTGTGGTTTGTGACCCGGGCGAATAATCGATATTTTCCCCCTTGAATGCCTAACTTTTTCTAGATGCTGGATTTACGGTTCTGATCCCAGTGGGATCCCTGTTAATTAGTTAGTGTTTTTTTTTCATCCCTTATATCGTAAATAAAATATATATTATATATATGGTCGGAATTAGTTGATGACTTATATTTTAAACAGTTTTATTTAGCTCGACCTGTACGGAATTTATTTATTTGGGTCAAAATTAGTAATTGAAATTTAAGCACCTTCCCGCTTTCAGATTGATATTATCTTTGTACACACATTTAATTTAGATGACAATACAATATAATAAAATCAAAAACATTATAAATTCAAGATGGCCGCCGATACACAATGGCGGATTACATATTTTGAGACTACATTAGTAAAACACGGTGATGAAAAAACGACGATGAAAAAAAGTTGTAGTGCACAAAAAATAAAACTGTTTTGAAGTTAATACTTGTTTATAGCTTTTTTTGGAAAAGCAATACACCCGCCAAATAAAATGACAACCTCTACAAGTTGTGTAACATTTTTGTATTTCTTAAAAATGCAATCTCTAATAAAGGTGTTTGTACACACAACTACATTTATCTAGACTCATTACATCTCAAATAACAGTTTGCAATGTAAAGGTACACGCATATTAGTCGGATTCTGAGAAAAATGATACATAGAACCAGTTACGCCGTTATCCGGTAATTCCTTAAACACGGCCGATAGTCACGCCAAAGTAATCCAGCTGATCGATTTACATACTAACCGTGTATTGCTGGAAATTTATTGAAGTTATGCTCTAGTCAAAACAAGTAGCGAGCCTGGTTGTGCTAAACCATAGGAGACTGATGCCCATTTAGTTTATAAACAAATATAGTATGTTAATAAAATACCTCCAAAAATTTTAATGTCTATTTTTGACGTGAACAGGTTTGGGGCGTGAGCTTTTTAATTGCATATTAATCTAATTAATATTAAACATAAAGTATTGTCTCTAATTTTAATTTTAAGGTTTGATCAAGAACGCGAAATATATTAATAAACTTATGTACAATTAATTTGAACTACGACGTTTCGGATGCTTTGCAGCAGCTGTGGTCCCTAAATGAAAGTGTTTTAAACCATTATAAAGTGTTTTATTTAATATGGAACTTCTTATAGAACATAAAATTTATTAATCATTCCCTAAAACCTTAAGATAGCATAACCAGCTTAAGTTTGAGTCGGAAATATATGCTATGTTTTAAACTTATGTTTATAAACTTACAAAATGAAAAGAATGAATTTTTATGTAATTTTTCAAATTCCCTGGTTGAGTTTTAAAGCAAGAAGTTGAACACGTACTTTGCATTAGATCGGCATGTAATGTAGACTAACAATAGTCGTACAGTCGAAACACCAGAGATACATCTTGCAAGTGCCTTTGTATACCTAAGAAATGTCTATATTTTATGTAATATAACCCTGTATATAATTATTAATTATAATAATATGCTATAACCTTATCTAGCAAACAAATAATTAATTAATAGCATAAAAAAATAAAATATTAATTAAATTTAATATTTAATGAAAAATATATATTCTAATGTAACGAATGTAATTAGTAATTGTTGTTTTTTTGGTGGCTATAAGAGAATTAACATGTCGGTTTTACGGTACTAATATAATGATAGTTATGTATTGTATTTTTATTGACTTTTTCTAAGACAAAAACTTACGTACTAACAGATAAATAAAGGGCGCATACGTATTACCTAAATCGCTTTTATCTCACTTTGAAGAGTATTTAGTACATGTGTAACACGTCGATTTGCCAAGTTGTAAATAATTACTACTACCATTAACTTCTCTATCTATTGTCTTCTATCGTATCTAATTCTTCAACTGCTCTATTTAACTCTCCTATAAGCAAACTATATATAACAAGTACTATAATGATATGTATTGTTTTCGGTGGTGTCATCGGAACGTCCAGGTGGCCACTTGGTACCGGGTATGTGTTTTATTTAACCCTATAAACGCCTGCATGAATCGACTGATTCACCGAGGAATGTCAGCATGTATATGGCTTCTATAGACTGCGAAGCATTTGCTAATCTCTAATTAACTTGATTTATGTATATAAGTATTTGTATGACGGGTATAAACACGAACATTTGACCGTATGAAGCCTTTGAAACGAAGGGTTACCATCTTGTATAATATTTGTAATGTTCCTTTTTTAATGTAACGGATATGTTTAAATAAGACTATAAAACAATAATAACGATTTATTACTGAACAAGATTCATACAGCTTAAAATATATTATAATTAACTTATCTCTTTTTTAAGGTTGTACAATACGTTACGATCTTTTTAAATTTGTTGGTATATTCTACATTCGTACAAAGAAAATTTTGTTGTGAATAAACATATTCCCCAAATAACATATAAGAATACGTTTTTCGTAACAAAATTGATCTCATTTTGTTACTTCAACAAATTGCGTTGTCTTTCTGAATCGTACTTTGAATATAGGCAAAACGATATTGGTCTAGCGATAAAATATTGGAATGGAAATTTAAAAGATCTTGTTTCAAGAATATGTAATTTTACGTATTATCTAGACTATTATATTGTATATGTTTTAATACATCTATTGTCGTAACTTTATTATGTTTTACCATGACTAAGCATTTTTTATATATTTCAAAATTTCTGAAACGTCGGGCTGTAGTTACAATAAGTTTAACTAATATATATCGCGATTTAAACCGTTTTATGATTAATTCAATATTTCGCTATTTCAAAAATAAGGATAAAAATAAAATAATTACCACAGATAAATATCTATTATAACCTTACATTTATTTTAAGTACTATAATAGCAATGTTTGGCAGTCTAAAGAAACACAGCATGACGTACCTATACACCACAATACGACTCAGTGGGTGCTTTTGACTTCCTTCCAGTTTATATTAATGCCTCTGTAATGGCACCGGGTCTAATTGAAATACATATTTCGTATTTCAATTAACATTTGGGATAAGGGGAGACATTACTTTGTTATTAGGGTTTAGAAAATGAACGAACTGCCATCGTTAAGGAGATAAGACCTTGAAACACACGGGATTTCTCGAGTATGCTAAAAGTAAGTGACATAACATTAATTGATAGTGATCAATGTTATACATGCATAGTTACATCTTGTTATCGTTATTTGAACTGAATTTCAATAAGAATTACGACGACTTCTGTTTAAAATTATGTCAGTTTAATCGACGTTCCTTCAATTTTTATGTAATTTGAGACTAAGAGTACATAATAAGCAATACATTCACGAAATACAATTTTAGATAATTTTTTTCTCTAAAAGTAAAAAACTAATAAGTCTAACATGATTAGGATACCCTTATATGTAGAGTATGTATTAGCATATGTAGCTTACAACGCGAAATGTATTAAAAATTTATTTAGTCGTGGTCACGGAGAGACTGCTGTAAAGCATCCAAAACATCGGGCTGTAGTAATAATTATTTGTAAATAGGTTTAACTAATATATTTCGCGTTTTAAATCGTTTAACGTGTTCTATTTTAATATACTAAAAGCATATCTTACTAATATAGCATGAATGTATGTATTCTACTTATATGTTTATATTTGCTCATTTCAATAATGAAAATGTAAATATAACCCAGCACCCTCTCTTCTAATAAATTAAGATAATATTAACATAACGGTTAAGTTGTTATGCTAACTTATTATGTATAAATTGTGTTATATTCTATTTATAATATTAAAATGCATCTATACTAATATGTAAACCTGAACAGTTTGTTTGTGTGTGTTTGTTTAACAAGATACCCAAAAATTATCTAAAGAATGATCCCTCTTTAAACTAACTTAAAAAAGTGTTCGCGACAGTATATTTCTATTTTTAAGATTAACTTGAAAAACGACGTCGTTGGTAACAGCTTTAATTTATAAAGATGAAGGTTTTCAAAGACACTTGACGCCCAAAATCACTATACTATGCTCGCAAGTCGCTGACACAGCTATTAATATTTGTGCTTGCGAACCCAATAAAAAACGACATTGTCATAATTTAATATGTCATTACATTTCCTGTTTTAGCCTCTTTATAATGGGGGGTAAGCATTCCCCTGGATGTACAGAATACCAGAACTCATAAGCCTTGCCCACTATCCTCTAATACTTGTCATATTGTGTATAATCACGGAATTAAGGACACTATTCAGCCAACAACAGATCTGAAACGCAACCCAGTTAAGGCTTGATACACATCGAGGCTTCATGTCCCACATCCAAGAATAGCACTCCATTGCCTGCAACTAGGGTAAATTGAATGATGCAACTTATTATCAGTATGGATTATTTATTATCATAATTGACAAGTGCGGTTTATATGCTATGCTTTACATAAAACACTTCCTTTCCTACCTTAAAAGGAAAATAATTTTCAGTTTTTACGCTTACTACATTTAGCATAAAAGATAATAATTATATATTTTTTTGTCTGTCATATGGTTTATACATATGTAGCCAATATTTAGTCTGCTATAGTTCAATAGAGGAACAAATTTCGTGTTCGAATATCGACAAAAATAGTGCCAGTCAGGCAGAGAAAGAAAGTATGGTGTCTAGACTATAAAAACTCACTTGTAATTAAAAGGCATCAGTATAAAAGACATAGAAATAGTTCCACCTTAAGGAGAAAGAGGATTTCGTAGACACTAACCAACATAGTCAAAGTTTTCAAATACCTGTATTTCTTGGAATGAACTCGTTACAAACGAGCTCCTTATAACTTAGTCAAAGATAAATTCTAACATACTTTACTTATTATATTATTAGAACAGTCTTATATTACATCGCAAAAAAAAGAGAAAAGATTTAAGTGATGCAGGTGTGCAATAATTACGAACAATATTTTTAAAAACTAGTATTGAAGTTTAAGTTATCTCTACTACAGATACTAAAACACAATAGCAGATCTTTTGACTTGCAGTTAGTACAGGATGTTAAACTTTCAAAATCCCCGCTTAGGTCCTACAATAACTCTCACTACAGTCCTTTACCCTGGCCCGTAGATTTCGCTCCAAAGCACTGCTGTTGTAATATCTACAAAGCAACTTTACAAGCGATGTTTGTATTTTTCATACAAAAACGTGTCGTGTCCTATTTTTAGAGGGGTTGTACGAAACGGGAACAACCTCTCCGAGGTGTATCAATGCGGTTACTGCTTCAGATGGAAATTTAGCATTGTATTTAATTTCATTGTTCTGTTTTTTTGAACTCTGGATTTGTAAAATGTATGCCGCGATTCTTATGATTAATACTGTTATTATCGACTAGTTATGAGTTATTAAGATATTTATTTTAATGATTGGTGATATGATTGTAAAACCGTATTTAGTTTCGGGCGCATTATCCAATTTTTCTGTCCCATAATAATATATAACCGTAAATATATAATATTGACAATATAAAAATTACACTTAACTACAAACTAAGAAAAAGTAAAATCTCACGTCCCCAGTGTAAGCCGTGGGGCAGAAATATAAATACCTTATTAGTTGTACAATATAATTTAAACAATATATTTCGCTTTTTAAACTGTTAAAAGTGTTTTATATATAAACGGTTTCCGCACGATTCGATAAACTTATCGTGTGCACATTGAGACAAGAAAGTGATAAAATAATAGTATTATCCCCCCCCCCCCCCCCCCCCCCCCCCCCCAATTCCCCTTCCCCCTTTTTTTTTTTTTTATCAAAGTTCCGTATTCTATTACACGTCAAACTAAATTCGAATGTGACCACGTAGTACGAAATGAGATAATTTTCCTGTAGAAAAAGGTTGGCATATCCTTTTTCAATACCAAAATCAGCCAAGGTCGCAACACGTGAAACGAAATATCTCGATAAAATCTAACATTACATCTATCGGGTTACTTATCAATACGCCAAGGAAAGCCGATACCCTTGGCTACCGAAGACTCGATAGTAATTCGAGGCATTGAACGGGAAATTCAATTAAAATAATGTAATTATGTGTAGCTGTCGTGCGTACGTGCATCGCAAATAAAGTATACAAGATTAGAGATTGATTTATTATTTTTGCTGTTGCGTTTTGTATGATAAGTGCGCCTCAATTATAAACCCCGTTTCCTCCAATTGGACTTGAGGCAAGCACAAGTCTTCATAAATTATCTCTGCCCCTGCCCAATCGAATCAATTTTAGATTTTCCTTTGGATTCAGACCTAGCACCTCTTATGCTTTACGGGGCTACGACGGTCTAAGGCGACAAACACAAAGTAAACGTCATACTGATGTTAGTTTTAACTGTGTTTATAGTAAAAACAATTGCTTTATATACTAGAATACAAACTAACTATGTTAGTTGCCTTAAAACTTCAGACGTAATGTATCACCCAAATTTCGTTTAAACATAAAAAATAGTTCCTTGTACAAATGCTGCTTGGATCCAAAAGCCTGTTTTTCAAAGTCTTTGATTAAATAAAATAATCCGTTTATGACAAAGGCTTGGATATAACTTACAATAAAAAATGTAAACTTTGGGCACGAGAACCAGCTTGTACTCAGCATGGCTTGCTAAGCGCTGATTTTCAGTCTGTAAATTATGAGATAACTGATTGTATCGCGAAATTGAAACACTCAAGATACTATTGAACATAAACGATTATAATTATGTTATATATACCTGTATATATGACTGTAGTGTGACTGTGTCAAAAAATGCTATAAGATTACGTCTAAAAACATAATCCAAATTTCAAAATAAGCGATTGAGGTCAAACTTTGAAACTTCTAATTAAAGCCTAGGTACAGTGTTCATTAAACAATCTCGATAGCTATCGAATTAGACTTGTTCTAAAAGCACTAGATGAACAAATGTTGATTAATTGATTCTCCTGTAGAAGCGCTTTGATTTATTAAAACTGAAATTGAAGTAGAACTGCGAACACAGTCATTAATCAGTGGTCCTTGTTCTCGAATGAATATACAAATAACATGCAATAATTTGAAATGCATTAAAACTACAATTTCTA